ATGATAAGCGCAGAAAGTTGGGTTGCGCGCAGAAAACGTACGAAAAAATAAGATAAAGAAGTAAGAAGATAGTTCGGTTCTGCATTGTTGCAAACGAGCCATCTAGTTTAATATTATAAGAGCAATGTGTAGAATGTGTGCGAAACGAGTTGCAGATGGACATGAAGTCACTTTTCATTTCTCAACTCAGTTATGCTTTCCTTAAATTTATATGCCCTTGATCCTGTTTTCTCTTAACTCACATCTTTCTCCCTACCCTTCCTGGCTATTTATGGCACACTTCGGCAAGCATGAAGGTCAGAAAAGTATTTTGGGGAGTTTGAAAATAGATCAGTGCCAAATTCAGAAGACTGATTGGCCAGTGTTTGCCATTAATAAGCAATAAAAAATTAATTAGGAAATTCATAAGTAAAAATATTCTGTGATACAGTATTGCACTCATGAACAACAAGAACGGTTTGGGTCATGACATTACAATCTCGTCAGATAGCCCAGTATCAATTCACTCTCTAGGACGAAGGAATTTAATAACTTTATTGTTCTATATCCAAATCCACATCCGATTCAATGTCGTTCTGTAGACCAAGTAATAGGAAGTAAGCAAAACATTTTGCTGTCTATTATATTCTTACATGATATTATACTGGTTTGGAGAAGCGTCTCCGACGGGTATTTTCATGTTTAAAAGTTTTATTTGTGCTTTACAAGTTCATTATAAAAATAAATTTTAAACATATTACAGTTGCCCCCATTCGTTAATTTTCGGGCATAGAAAGTTACAAGAACAAATATCGATAAAAATACCTGTTTAAGTATTTGTTTCATTATGAAATTTTATTTATTTAGCATCAACCTGATGAACTAATCGTAACGATTCATGTAAATGCCAGAAAGAGAATCCAGTAATTCCAAATATTTCGCAAATTTACTAGTAGGTGCACTGAAATACAAAACAAGCGGTTTTCTATAATTCTTCCAGGTTGTACAAGAGGGAAACGGCTAAATACTTGCCAATCAATTTGTCATGTGGAGAGAATCGAATGAGCTATATCAGCTATGTCGGTACCATAGTAACCCGAAACGCCTCTTAGTTGTTCAAAAATAAATTTTTTGGATAAATTACTAAAATCTTCGTGATGGAGCCGTAAAATAACGATCATTTTTACATCAGGATATTGAAATGCGTCGAAAGACACCTCATTTGTGTCAAATGGCTGAGTGACAGACGGGTAGTGTTTTGTCGATTATTGTGTAAGGAGTATGGACTATGGTCCAGAGTATTGGAAAGAATCAGAAACTTTAATTTCATTACAGCAATGGGATTGTCCTTTTGCCACCGACTACCCTATCGAACTTTTGTTTTGAGAAGTCACGAGTCTTAAGTATGTGTCTAAAAGCGCATAATATGTATTACTGTAAATAAAACCAATTCATCTAAAATTAGTATTCGTCAAAGAACGGTATTTGTTGTTTTCAGTATAGCCTTAGTATAGTAAAGTTACCAAAGATAACATTTTTTTCATTTTGAGCATCATTTACACCGTCATGGATTCAATACTGATACACTATTGAAACTGCACATTTCAGGAGTAGAAGGAATCGCTTTCTTTCTTAAGAAGTAATAGTCATTGTGAAATATTTTAGGTAACAACGTTTAGTGGTCTCATCAAACAAAATTTGAAAAATAAGAATTCGAGACGTCCAACTTGCTTCAAACTCTCAGAATATAGAGCTTATGCCTTCCAGCTAATAGAAAAATAATAATTTATTTATTACCCCCTCTTTAAGTATAAAGAATAAACATCTTATTAATATCTATTATAACTATTAATTATTAATATCTATTATAATAATATGGTATAAACTAACATTTTTATGACATCCAATTGTTTCAAGAAAGTTCAGGGAGTAGAATATTGAGTCATCAGCAAGTACGGCATCTGAAGATTGCCAAACTTCTTTTTCAAGTAGCCACTACTAGATCAAAATTCGGGGTTTGAAAATAAAATAATTAAAATTGAAAATTGGACATTGTGGGCAATGAATCTATTTAGAAGGATATAACCTAATCGCCCATTGAGTTTTACACACAGAATTTAGTATACAGTAGCCGATGTATTTTAAGAAAACTTCAAAAATATCCTTAACTATACACACAGTTGGTCTGCAACGCTTTTCGATTGTTTTGTTTGGCGCATGCTGTTAACTTCAACACAGTTTCGAAATCCTGAAAACTACATTATCTTCATAATTTTCGGTACCTTGATTATTACAACACAGAGACGCCAGCGCTCACAATGGACGTTTTCTTAATACTGCAATCACACTTGCCAATTCGCAACAGAGAAGAAAAATATATTCCACTTAACCAAAAAATTGTGTTCGTAGAAAACTGAATTTTACAGATCCGGTACTTCCAAATTTCGTTCTTCTCTTAATATTATTGTCAGCCTTTCAAATCTACACAAGTATTCACATACTTTGAACTTTGCAGTCGCTTACTCACGATCCCCATCTCTTGAACACGCATTCAATTTCAAGGATCAATGCAGATGTTATCGCATGCCTGATATGATGCAACACGTTCATAGACATTACGTATTCCGACGAGTACACACATTTTCAGTCGTACACTGCACTCCTGTAGTGACATACCCATGATGTTGTCTCATATTTGTATGAATAGATGTTACATTCACGTAGATGTTTCTAACAAAAACCAATATCAGTAACAAACCTAAAAATTATTAATTTCAGCAAAGCCATTTTATGAATTCTAATACTTCTTAAGTTATTCTAGTAGAATTATCCATGCATAAGAGAGAAAAAACTAGATTTGACCGGTATTATCTGCTAACACCATTTAAACATAACTTAAAAGCGAAATTATTGTGCGAAAGGGTCTTCTTTCTTATTCCTTTTATGATTATAGTTGGGACAAAGATGTTTGTGGAGAAAAAATAATGTTGTGGAATGAAAGGTCTTAAAGCTTCACGGAGTATTCTCAATAAAATAATATCGTCGTCTTCACTTCTGGAATTAGCTTGATCCGACCTCTTAATAGTATCTACCGGCTATTAGGTCTGTCAACATTTCTTCTTCCACTTGTACGTCATAATACTTTTGAACAGCGAATCTCGTTCATCCCAATAACATGCTCTTTCTTGTGAATTCTATATTGTTCTACTTCTTCGCAAAGAGAGAATATATTTAATTATCACCTGATGTCCGTATTTTGTATTTTTTCTTTTATCTTGCACCCTTTCACTCCACTCAGGTTGTGAACTTTAGCAACTTAAAACTTATTCCAAACCTTTTTCTTAAGGTTCCATATTCTCACTTTCATGTTGGAACTGACATAAATGTATGTAATGAAACAATTCTTACATTATTTCATAATGTTTTATTCATCAGAATATATTATACTGTAAATTATATAATAACTTGGTAGAATGTGTTCATTTTTAAGATCATGTACTAATGATACCACAAATGGCTGGGTATGGATTTCGCAATTTCAACTAGAGATATGTCTTTTTGAAGTCTTCTGTAAAATATCCAGTCACTTTCTAATCAAAGGTATTCCACCTGACATTGTCAAGCACGAGTTCTCTAACCCATTAATATTCTATGTGGTTTCTATGTGATTTCAAATATCCGCGTCATATTTGTGCGATAGGTCTATAAGCAGTTGACAGAATGAGGCTTCCTTTTCGGTAATTTAGAAAAAAATTAATTTCAAATAACTTAACATACTTTAACTTCAGAGAATAGATAAGCAGACACTGCAACGAAATATGCAAATTCCGACCATACATGAATTGTCAAAAATTACGGATATGCTTGATTATTTTCTATTTGGTTAGGAAAACTGATATTACTATTATTTCCTGTGTTTTGAATACACGTGTTTTGTTATTTTTCGTGTCCTGCGTCTTCAGCTTCTTCGATGCACAACTCATTTCCAGCTTGCTTGGCCTGTTTGTCTATTCTGCGCGCGTTGAAAGCGGATTAGGATTTATCAGTTCAATTAGTACGCTCTCAAGGGCACCCATAATTTTCTTCAATGCAATCACGATAAAAAAAAAGAACCAGTCGAGTTCAGCTCTGAGTCAGCTTTGGCATCGTCTCTGATCGGGAGGTCCTAGGGTTCGAGCCCAGACAGTGGCAGATTTTCGATTCTACCTAGATAGCTAGCCCCTATCAGGAGGACAATTGTAGCGGTCGGCCGTTCTGACCAGTAGGTGTCTCCGATCAATACCAGGCGGAAGCAAATGGATGACGAACCACACACGGTCTCCCTTTGTTGACTTATTCTCCACACGTCAGGAGACCAATCCGGAACTTAGAAATTGTCCCGAATGAAGGCGTGTTTCACTGGAGAAGTTAATTTCCTCGCATGCTGACGTGTATGTAGGCACTGGATCTCAACATCTAGCCGGGGAAAAACACCGCTTCTTCAAGCATTAATTTACTAGACTAATGAGAAAAAGTACTATAGCAACTGACATGCCCGGAAACCTGACATTACCGGAATTTTACGACTGGTTTTTGTATGAAATTTAAACCATTCAAGTGTATTGCAGTAGTAAAATTAATATAATTTTTGTAATTTATGAGAGAGCGTATACCAAACAAACGGTACAACGAAAATGTAAAATGAATAATATTCTACTCAACAGTTGTAATGCCTACGCAAAATGAATAACTAATCAATCAATTCAGTATGTGTACCTATTAGTTCGTGCGTGGGGACGGTGTCGCCAGATTAGGTTCAGAACGAGCTTCCGGGCTACAGCTGAAACTTCCTACGTACAACCATGTATTCCGCTAACATCGTACTAAGCCGAGCGGGAGCAGCGTCTAGAAATCCGACGGGATAAAGAAGTCACAAAAGACATAAAGACCAAAAATATCACATTGACATATGGCCGGGAGCCGCATCCGAGATCGATGTCCTATGTTGTTCGGGGTTCTGGATTGTTGGCTAGTTATCATAGGCGTGGTCCCAAGTTCGCCAGTACTCAATGGCAGCTGAATGTATTTGTCCTGTTGCAGTGCTGTCGCTGCCGCTGGTGATGACCATAGTGATGGTGATGGTGATGGCGTTGCCATTCGCCCTGGCACAGACATTCGCCTTCGAGTCAGAGGCAGATTCCGCCCACTCTTCATCTAGTGCAGCGGTGCAGGTGGGTCTTTGAATCACTCTCTTCATTAGGGTACTGGCAAAGGTGTAATGAGAGTTATTTATGACCAAGGGCTTTATAAGTATTCTAATGATCGACCCTTGACTAAAAGCCCAAGGGCCTTTGGCCCGAGGCTCATCGTTCATGAACTAGTTAACGCCTATGGTACATACATGATTTAATTTCTTATTTAATTTTAATGATCCATATTTACTTATTAACTAGTTCAGTTGACTCGAGTTTGTCTTTTCATATTTCCTCCCATAATTCCCCCATAAGAGAACATGCACCATCATTCAACTGTTTTCGAATATCCCTCGTAATTTCGATCCTCTCCATCCAGGAAATTTAAGCAGTGTATTTCGAGCTCCATATCGATGGCAATAATGAGCCATAATGTGTCAGCAAAAAAATAAAAAAGATATGTTGAATGACAAACGAACTAGCGATTCCGATCTTATCCTTATAACTTGTTAATATAATCCATATCAATTCCTGTTATTAAAATCCATAATATATTGTATGTATGAAAGGTTAATATTTATAATTCTACACATATTATTCCGGCATAACTGAAAAATTTTATGTAGTTAAGTTTAGTATCCTGTTCAAGGTCATTCTGATGATAGTCTCCTTTCCAAATGAGAAGCAATTAGTGGCGTGCAGCAGCAAAACTGTTGAAGAAAACAAGCCCACAACATTGTTTTCCAAAACGAATCACGTACAGTGCTCAATAACGACGACTAAAACGCACTATTAAAACACTGCAATACTTTAAATAACTTTACAGAAATGGTCTTCATGAATATTGTAATAACACAACGAGAATTTCACAAATGTTGCTGTTTCATAATGCAACCCGTGAACACGAAATATTTCATGAGGCGTTTCTATCGCATAACATCAGCTATGTTGTTTCTGACTCACCGACTATGAAAATATAGACGATACGCACAGTACGAGAATATGTGGAAAAATGAAATAATTCTTGTGTTTTTTTTAAATACGAAAAAATATGTATTGCTCACGCCGATAATATGCGCATTTCCAGTAATTTGTACACGTTATTACATTTGTGAGTGGTAGTGCTTCAAATACATTTAAATGAAGTTTTGTCGAAAGCTCAATTTTTTGTGTGAAAAAGAGCTGTCACATTTACAGTCATGCTTAAACGCCATTTTCTTAAAAATGACTCCAAATTTAAAAGTAAATTTCCATATTGGACGAGTATTCACACAATATGATATTCTTGAAGTAATATTTCAGTTCTACCATTAGGAAACCGAAAAAATGAGAAATTTTCAAAACAAAAAAAAATTCTATGAATGGCGACAAATGGCAGCTGCTAAGAGGATGGAGCACGACCAAAATGTTAGTCTAGACCAATGAAATTAGAAAACCAGCACGAGAAAGTTTATGTTATTCTGTAGCACTACTATTTATAATTTTAAAACGCCCGACCTGGATAACTGAAGTTACTACGTTGGGGAGTTTTGTGAGGATTCAATGATTGTTGGATTGAACATGATTGAACGGGACACAATTTGCGTTTCAACACAATCCCATCCCATCCCATCCCATCTCCATCCATAATTCACTTTTTCTGCTTAGAAACGAATTTGTAATCTTGAAGTATGAAGGGTGCTCTTGACTAGTTTTATCCTGAAGTATCTACGAATGCAAACAATGTTCCAAGCGCCTCATGAGATTGAGAAACTTTTTAATATTTCAGCACCATGACTGTCATAGTTTTTCTTTTTCCAATACCGAGAAATCAGTTATGAATACTCACAACTAAAATATTACGTAAGCAACAAATCGATGAAGTCGTACCATTGTCCTGCGTATGTTGCAAGCTCATAAAGTCGATTCCCCACACCGTCACCTCTGTCGACATCCGACGAGTTTAGCGCAACCCCATGTGACGTATGAGCCCCACGTGAGACCGCAGGCTTGTCACGTCACCACCTGTGGACGGTGCCAGGTCAACACGAAAGGTCATTTCACAACATCCCTATCAAAGTTAAAAAAATATATTTGTCTTAACGCTTCTGTGTCTTTCAGAACTTTATTCACAGTCGGCACTATCTAATACGTAATATATACAACTCTTAAATCTGTAAATCGGCTTATCTCAGCCAAAAAGTAAAGATCTTTCTTCAATACATTACTCGTAAATAACACAGTACTTTTAAGCAACAAACATTATTTATTTGTATTCGATTCTCTGTATGAGATGTGTTTTCATTACATACAAATGAAGATCAGTATCCAACTTATTAATTTTCATTCACGATCACAAATTTTGAGCATACACTATTGTTGGACACTCTTGGCATGCAAAATTACACAATGATGTCTTTCGACAAGTTTTAAAATTCAATAATTACGGTACTCTCTGACAATATATTCTCCAGCTCAGCGATATCAAAAAAACCAATCAACAATATATTTTCCTCCCCTCTGGCAACTACGGAATGTCCAGAACACGTCAAACACTTTCACTTATCTAACAAATAGAAAAATTATCATTCACTATTAATTATTCAATACTAAGAAATTATTAAAAATCAACTATTTACTATCCTATGTAAAGTATTAAAATGACTAGATGCATATATGAATAGGTGAAAACTAGAACAGTATAAGTGACATTTTATAAATTCAGATATATCTATTCATTTAAGTCAATATTACTATAAAGTTTTGGTGCTTTGCCACTGTAGTACATTGCCACTGAAATATAGCCTAAAATAAACACGTTTTTCTCAAAATTTTTAAAATGACACTTATACCGTTATGGTTTTCACCAATTTATATAACGTGTATAATTCAATGTCTATGCCATCTACGTCTAGCATAGGCCTGATTAAAAAAAAGTCGTTGAGTTGGGAGCCGTGATGTTGTTCTGTGATGGCGTTTCGAGATCGAATCTCCCATTCGTCATGAACTATCTCACTAATTGCAACGTCATAGACAAAAAGAAACCACAACTTATCTCATGTACATTCATGTAGTCGTAATTCAGTATTTCATTACTGCACAGAAAAATCTAATGTAAAATATCTGCACTTCGTCGCCTGCTTGCCGTTTGAGACACAGCACTATATGACGGTAAGAATATGCCGACTCATCTTTTACTAAGCTGCTTTATTACGTCTACTCCTCGTACATAATGTTTTGAAAGTGAAAATAGCTTCCACAGCAGATCCCAACTTCGAACTCAAACTCTAAGCCGTACGTCACATCATTACAGACCCAGTACTGTACGCGGGTACAAGTTTTAATACTGTTAATTGCTATTAATAAATAGAAAGGCCCGGACATTAAATTGTACAGAATATCAGTTAATTTAATTTTACATAAATTTCGTGATTCTGCTTGCCGCATGCCGAGGCTACGACAGCCCATGCTACAGAGAGGTGGTAGCCAAGAAAGTAATAGAAGGTGCGAAAAGTATTTTCTACATTACAAACTACATTAAACTCTCAGGCCCCACCTGACCTCTGCATATGTCTGGGATGATCGCGCGTTGTCCGTTGCAGATTTGATAAGGTACTGTTCCGGCATTCGCCTGGTGTTGATCGGAGATACCACAGAAAAATTACCGATCAGCGCAGCCGGATCAGCTAAATTATCTTCCAGACAACTGCTGAAATCTGCCCAGCCGAACCCTAGGCTCTCCCAGTCACAGGCATAGCAGTGTCATCATTTCAGCCACCTCAAACGGTCCAAACGTTATTAAAACAACTTAGCTACTAAGCATCTCGGACGGCACTTTTGGATATTTTTATAAATTTTGGTTCGTTGGATATTAAACAAAAACGTTTGCGTCGTTACATCTACGTACATCAATACGCGGCAGCTGGAAATCACTGGAGAGTACGCACTTCCGCAGCATAACGGCAGCTGCCAGCAAAGGTAAACCGATAGTTTCCAGTTCGTTGCTTCCCGCTCGAGGTCTTGTTTTTGCCTCGCTGGAGAGCGTTGCCGCATCTCTTTACGGATTTACCGTGTTTGCGCAGTTACCGCATGGCCTCCCGGGCCCCGGAACAGATGTCGCTCTTTGGTGACTGACGTGTTTTCGTTCTGTTTTGGGGTTCGCGTCGCTTCTGCCGTAGTAACTGAATGTTGCTTAGTGCCACTAACGGGAAAAAAAGGCTACGCTAATTTCACGATATTGTTATAAAGGTTACATCGGTGGTTCATATCATATCAATTGTAGTGGTAAATTTCTATTATAATAATTTCTACTCAAATATCATACAGTTTTATAATTGGAAAAATCGATGTTAATTTTTCTTCTCTTGCCAATACAATGTGTATGAACTCTGCGCTGCTGATAATTGAAGCTAATTCGATTCTGGTCCGTCCAAAAAATTTAATTTTATGTCGGCTTGAGAAACAAATAACCTCTTGTTGGTGCTGCTATAATCTCTTACCACCCTGCCGATCCCATGTATTTAACCTCTCCCTCAATCGTAATAAAAGAAATAGGAGCATAAAAACGAGATTTTTTTTCATGATACCACATTTGGTAAATTCTGATAATGATTTTTCAAAATATGTAATTTTCATGCCCAATTCACGGTTGCAAAGTTTAGCGAATATATTCAAATTCCATTTAAAACCATTAAATTTATCACGCCACGACTTCCGTTACGACTCAAAAAATTACTACTTTGCGATATCAAGTTTCTTCAAAATTTTATAGTGATCTCATTCGCCTTTCGCGTGCGCATTTGATCTTAGCTTTCTCTATGCAGCTTCACCAACAGAATATTGTTTATCTTCTCTTCCTATTGTATTTCCAATTAATTACGCGTCTTCTGTTTGTTATAATGTTTTATTATAAACCTATTACCTTGGAGTCGCTCACATTAATTTCGCACGCATATTCGTCTTTTATATTGGGCTTAATTTCTTGTTACCGTAATTACAATACAATACATACACAATTACAATATTTTGTGTGGCAATTCCTAGGCCTCCAATAACTAGCCGTATGACGTGTGTGAGGCGAATGTGAAGCCAGAATTGCGTCATCACCATCCAGGTTTTTTCAATCGCGAAAAAACACCGCAAATATTGTAAAATTCATGATGTTTTTTCGCGACTTAGAAAAAAAAAGTTTGAGGATGGTGGCGCAATTCTGGCTTCGGATTCAGCACGCCGACATATGTAGAGAAACACGTTCTAGTCTTTGGTGTGACAAGTTTTCGCCTCCGTGGAGTACAATGATACAAGACACCAAAATCTAGTATTTGCATGTGCTTTTAGCGATTTAAAAAAAAAAACTGGAAGGCGGGGGGGGGGGCAATTCTGGCTTCGGATTCAGCGCGTCGACATATGTCGAAAATCATGTATCTAGTCTTTGGTGTGACAACGTTTCGCTTCTGTCGAGTACAATGGTACAAGACAATAAAATCTAGTATTCGCGTGTGCTTTTAGCGATTACAAAAAAAACTGGAGGGAGGTGGCGCCATTCTGGCTTAAGATTAAACTTTTGCCCGATAACATACATAGAGAAACATCTACGAAGTTTTTGCGTTTGACAACTTTTTATTATTTTCCGTGCATATTTGTGATCTCTCTTTCACCCAGCGTCGTAATCCTACTACCTCATAATTCACTTCAAGACGTAACAATCTTGTTGTAATCCAAGGATACAGCTGAAAAACTGATCCTGGAAACATTACTCACGTTAGTCGTGTAGCGTGGACAGTAATAGCCTATACACCAATAATAATAAATAATATTAATAAGTAATAATAATAATTATTATTATAATGTTATAACTTCTCTATTCAGGGCAAAAGCCTCCCACACTCTCTCTCTGGTGAGGTAGCTCACAATAATAACTTACCAGCTGAGCTAAAACGTGGCGTAGTTAATTTTTTTCCTATTTGTCAATTATGTAATAAAGATATCAGTCGACCAGTTCTTAACAAATCCTGTGAATTTTTCTTTAGCACTATTTACACTGTTACACAATAGTTTCGTAGACACATTAATATGCTTCACGCTCACTTGTCTTCAAATGGATAATTTACCTACATATATTTACAGATTTGTTCTTTCTACAGTTTCTTTCCACTTTAACCCGTCTGTAGCTATACGGTCCCATAAATTAATAACAATAATATTATTAATAAAAACAGAGGCAAAAACAACCATGTATACACAGTATTATTATTATTATTATTATTATTATTATTATATTATTATATTATTATATTATTATATTATTATATTATTATATTATTATATTATTATATTATTATAATTATTACTAGTATTATACTGTTGTTATTGTGTGCGATTGCGAACGTGATTTATCTGATGGTGGGGGGGGGCGTGTGCGCGTGCGCGTGCGCAGGGGGTGGAGTGCCCGGAGGAGTGGTCGGAGCTGGCGTCGGAGGAGGCGGAGGGCGAGGGCGAGGGCGGCGAGGAGCGGCGCCTGCTGTGGCGGCGCACGGAGCTGCCCGAGCGCGTCCTCAAGGCGTCGTGGGCGCTGGCCGCCATGCGCGCGTCCTCGCCCAGCGCGCCCTTCTCGCACCGACTCGACTTCGCCAAGGAGGAGCTGCAGGGGCTGCGCGTCGACGTCAGAGCCCGGCCGCACTGCTTCGAGTAAGCCTTTCGCAGCTCTCTCTTTTTCGCTCATTCATTGTCAGTCTCTCTCTCTGTCTCTCTTCTTCTATCTCTCTCTCTCCTCCCTCTTCTCTCTTCTCTCCTCCCTTTCTCTCTCTTTCTTCTCTCTCCCTTTCTCTCTCTCTCCCTTCCCTCTCTCTTCTCTTCCCCTCTTTCTCTCTCCCTTCTCTTTACCTCTCTCCTTTCTCTTTTCCCTTCCCTCTCTCTTTCTCTCTGATTCTACTACAGTCTTCGTTAACTGATTTACTTTCATTCCTCTCACTGTTTCTACTTTCATTTCTTCACTGGATCTACACTGGGACCTCCCTCCCTCTTTCTCTCTCTCCCTCCCGCCTTTCCTCTCTCCTCCCTCTTCCTCTCTCCTCTCCCTCTTTTCATCTCCTCTTTCTTCTCGTCCGTTCTCTTTCTCTTCTCTCTCCCGTTTCTCTCTCCCTTTTCTCTTTCCCTCTCCCCTCTTCTTTCTCTGCGTGACTCTTACTAGGCCGTCTCGTTAACTGATCTACTTTCATCTCATCCACTGTTCTACTTTCATTCTCTCACTGATCTACATTCATTCTCTCACTGATGCCACCCACATTCTCCGACTAATTCACGTCAGAGCGGTGCCCGCAATGCTTCGTGTTAGAGTTTCTTATCTCTTGTTTCACCGACCCTCTCTCAGTCTCTCTCACTGATAGACTATAATCTAGCAATCTCTCTCCTGATCTACTATCAAGTCTCTCTCACTGACATCAATCTCTCTCCCTCTCCCTCCCTCTCTCTCTCTCTTTCTCCGATCTATCATTTTTCTCTCACTGACCTTCCTAACAGTCTTCATCACTTATTCACCCTCAATCTCTCACTCTTTTCTCTCTCATTCTTTCACCTGATCCACTTTCAGTCTCTCACTGATCCATTCTTATTTTGCTCAATGCTTCACTCTCATTCGCTCACTAATCCACCCACATTCTCCAACACATCCATGCCACTATCGAACTAACGCGATCGCACACTAATGTTGACGTACTCATTCTCACCTTTCCTTTCATTCCACCCACATTCTCCTCATTATACTCATTGAATTGGCTACTCATCACTGTCAGTTACGACTCACTCCCTTTCTCTCTTTCTCTCTCTTTCTCTCTCTTTCTCTCTTTTCTCTCTCTCTCTTTCTCTCTCTCTCTTTTCTCTCTCTCTCTTTCTCTCTTCTCTTTTCTCTCTCCCTCTCTTCCCATGTAGGTTGATATAAATACATTATTTAGAGAAAAATATTGTTTAAATCGAAAGGAAACAGTCAAGCACCAAATAGGAAATGTTGTCATTTAAAAAGGTACAGAAACGAAATTAACATTCATCATTAGCTTTAAATTTCGCCATCCCGAATCTCAATCATTGTCGAAGTTTTTTTTATAAGAATTGCGTGTTTCTTACCATAGCGAATTCCGGCCAAGAGGTTGGTTCGTCATTGCTCCACCAGAGGCCTGGGATCCAGCCGAGCCTCCGCGATGCTTCGTAGTGCCCCGCTTCCAACGCCACATCTGCGCAGAGGGCGTATCCGCCAGCGGCGCCCTCTGAGGAGCCTTCGCCTCCATCGCCTGCATTTCCTTCTATCCCCCATCGCCTTCCGTGTCCTCATGGTCTCCCCCGCGACGCATCCCCTCCACTGCCAACCATCGGCGGGAGCCGCCTCCGCCGACGTCTACGCCGCCACCTCCCCCCAGCGGTGGCCCGCGACCCCGCGCCTGCGCTCCCCGACGTCCCAGAGGCCGCCGGAGGCGCGGCGACGCCGGGCCTGGGGACGGTGTCCCGCCGCCGTACGCCGGCGGTGGCCGGCACGCGCGGCGGCGTGTGGCGTGATGACGGCTGAGGCGGCGCCCTGGGCTCCGGTGTGGCCTGCGCACCGGCACCTCCGACAGCCCTGCTGGAGCTGAAGGAGGAGGAGGAGCTGCGGCGCGACGCTGGCGAGCTGCGGCGCCGCCGGGCCGCGCGCGTCTGGTTGCCCGCCGCCCGCGACGGCGCCTTCGGGCCGCTGCTTGCGCCGCCTGCCCGGCCGCCGCTGGCTCGACCCCTTCCCCGACCCCCGACAAGTACGTCATTTCTCCTTGCTTCTCGACTTCTAGTCTGCCGGTGACGCCGCGACGTTGGCAGATAGGTCGACGTTTCGCCTGTCGTGACGCAGGTGTAACCGTATTAGCCAGCGTGCCTCATGGCATCTATTTGGGGACGCTTGGTAGAGGATTAGCCTCGCCACAGGAAGAGGGTTTTTCCGTAAAGGCAAGAACGCGGAAAACGGGAGACACAAAGGCTTTGGAGTTTTCCGGCTTAATAGAAGCCTTTTCACTGTTTTAACAAGCGAGGGGGTGGCGTGACGTAGTAGGTCACGTGGGCTCGCCTATATAACAGAGTGTACAGAGCCAGTGGGTGGGTTCTGGAGACAGCGGGAGAACCTCGTGGCGTGTGCACAAAACTTAGCGCACGACGGTGCATATGCGAGCCAGGCTCGCGAGGCTGGAGTCACTAGTTGACGAAGCTGCGGACTTTATGTCCTTGGGTGACTGCGGTCACGGGGGGCGATGCGTGTGCTGCTCCGAGGTGAAGAGTGGTTGAGTGCCAACGATTCACGCCGATTCTTCAATCGGATAAGATCGCTGCCTGCGATCGAGGCAAACCAGCCGTTGGTGCGCCAGAACGGACTTTGTGTCCCAGCGTGACATCCGGTCACGGAAGGCTTTTGTGCGCGCTTCAAAAGTAGGAGTGGGCGAATGCCACAAACAAAAACCATGCTTCAATTGCGGGTTTGGATCGGCTCCCGCGATCAGGGGATAGTATGTTCCTATCAGAGCTAGGGTGTAAGTAGATTATTAAAGTGTATATATTTGTTTTGTTTTTTTCTTTGTTAATAAATATATTTGTTATATGAAGCTCTGGTCTGTGTCGCTGTGAGTATCCATGACGTCACACAGGCTTCTTCAGGGTAGTGACACAGTAAAGCTCCGCCTCCGATGTTATATCTTTTTCAGCCTAGGGAGTAACGCAAGTGCGCCGTGATTGGCGGAGAGGTCCCTCTGACAGCCTAGAAGTCATGAACAGGAGCCGCGGAAGCCTACGTGTACTCGTCTTCTTTTCCCTTCTCTTCATTCTACACACACACACACATTCACATACACGTGTGTGTGTGAACAGATACATACTTATTCTCCCTCCTCTTCATTCTGCACAAACACACACATATTCACACACTCGTATCTGTGTGTAGATAGATCAATATCTAGATATATTTAAATTTAGATTTATTTAGTCAAAAATTTATTTTGTCCGAACTTCATTTTCTTGTATTTTCTTTCACTGCGGGCCATTGACTTTCCTCTTCCCATTTCATAGAAGCATATCCTTGAAAAAACACCTTCTGAATGCTCTGAGAGCTCTGACTTACCGGCAATAAGTACTCGGTCTAGGTTAATTGGAAGAAAATTGATTATTAAAGGCAGAAAGCTGTTTCGTGAAATCAGTATTTTTGAGATTTTATTGCTTCTTGAAAGTGGTATCTTATCATAAAGAAACATAACTGGTTTTTATTATTTAACCCATTTAGATTCGATATATCCAGTCCCATCTAGTATGTTTCGTGTATCAAGTGCACCTATATTTATTTGGACGTTTCATATCTTTTTCTCTTTCTTAATATTGTGATCCCCCTACGAAATGTTTTTAGATTTATTTAGTCAAAAACAGTAAAAACTGTATGTGACGTATGGGGAAGAAGATTAACTGCGCACGTTTTCTTGAGTTCAAGAATCCCTTCCCGTCGTAACTATACATAGATGAGTAAAATTATAAAAAAAAATAAATTTAAAATATTTAAAAAATCGTGAGATTAGTAATATTTGAAAATATAGACATTTTCGTTTCCGAGTCACAGAAAACGTATTTTCATCGGTAAACGAATTGCAAGTATGATTTTTCTGCATTGCTAACAAACTAATTACTTGCCCTTACCTCTACTCCTACCATTTCAAGCAAAAGGATAGTTCAACGAAACGTGCGCATAGCGAAGTTACATTTACGTCCAGAAGCAAAACACGGGGCCATCTCCGCATTTTCTCAATGGATCAGGGAAAGATAGTTAGCAAAGAAAGTAATCATAGTTATCAAAAAAAGCCTAAGCCAAATCTTCCTATTCAACATTGTATTTAACCGTGCGTTTCTAATTTTATATCAGGTACGCCATTAGCCTCAAAAAAATTTTTAATTAAATTCACTTTATATAGTTTTCATTTAACATAATTTTTGGATAGTAAAAATGCAAAAACTGCCGCAGGTGGGTTCGGGCAAGGAATATGTAGCAAAATCCGCGCGCAATTCATGTCCTGTTGTTAGGGTACTGCTCCCGCATTCGCCTAGTGTTGATCGGAGAAACCGCGGAAAACTACGGATCAGAGCAGCCGGCCGCTAGAATTCTCCTGCAGACTGCGACTGAAATCGACCTACCTACGCGCCTACCTACGCGCGTTGAAAATTCGCCTCCGGGCGACTCGAACGACGAATCCTCCCGCTCAGAGTCGCTGTAAAGATAGCGGCAATGAGGGTTCTGCGCTAACCTAAGCCGCTGACTACACGTTCTGAAAGAAGTAATTTAGTAAATAAAGGAAGAAAATTAATCACTTTCCTGAGTATCATGGACCCACAAATCGATTTTTTCCGTCAAAAAATCGCAATTGTTGCAATAAAATAACAATACATTCTCTTTACTGCGTCGGTAATATGCGAGAGAGTGAAAGCAACTTGTAATTAAAAGGAGTCATTAATCATAATAAACCACGCCACAATCCATGTTAACACAGTACGTTTAGTACACTCTTGACGCTTATGGAGTACATTTATGCACCTCACAGCTTTTGTAATTTTCCATGTCGTCCTCAGTATCTCGTATCACGTTATCGCTCTATGTGATTGTTGCGACAATCTGTGCACTTAACGTGATTTTATCCACAAAATCGTTACCTGAACACTAGTTACATTCCACAGAAAATATTTGGGGACTATATTTAAACGATTGCGCAGGAATAATTACGTTTTGATTTACAGGCATAAAATATAAAAAGTATTTGATTTCACAATACTAAATAATAATAATAATACTAAATAATAATAATAATAATAATAATAATAATAATAATAATTTTTCGACCTGTAATAATTGTTTAATGTTACAATTACCAGATCATCTTATTTCTAAATTTCAGCAATGATATTGAACATATCAAATTAAAAACATAATTTTTCAGTACTTGCAATAATACAGTTCTGATCTAATTGCAATATCCAGTCCATAATGAGAATTGTTAATTGCGAATAGATGCGTAAATTGACGGAAAATTATTCAGCATCCTTCCGTGTGTGAAGGGACTGTGGTAGTTAGATATCCAGGAACTTGGGAAGATCCAAAAACAGTGAAACTGATTCGAGTTCGACCGAAAAATGCGAAAATATGATTGTGTTATTCCGTCTATTATCACACTGGGCTTGGCGTCTGAATTCTCATAGTCAGTGTGTCATTGCTCATGACAGACTCATGCGATAGCAAATCTCGATGGAAGAGACTGCCTAATATCAAAATTTTTTCCTATTCACATTTTTTTATAATGAAACAGCATCTCTTTTCGTATTCTTGATATAGAAAGAAACTTTTTTTATATTAGTTGTAAAAAAATCTCTATAAATATTATTTTTTTGGGACTTCAGTAATGTAAATTTATTACTTTAGGACAACCGTTTCTTTGTTCATTTGCATCCGTACCGAACAATTGCACCCTCTCTCCTTTTCTTCTTGAATTTCTTTTTCCTCTTCTCTTACCCGTCAGTAGAGCTGTTGGACTGTTGTGACTCAGTTATTGATCCATCTTTCTTTGGGCCTGCCGATGTTTCTTTATGTGTGTGGGAAATAGAGGACTTGCTTTGAAATTAATTCATCACAGTCTTTCCATGACAGTCTTTTTTATATTCCTCTTTGTTCTTGATTACGTTTCAATGTTCTCATGGATGGTGTAGTTTCCCAATATATCTCTTTTTGTTGCTCCTTGGAATTCCTCTAAAAATAATATCTCTGTTGACTGCTATATGTTTTAGAATTCATAATCCGTATTTCCCATTTGAAAGTTGGCTAAGAGATACTTCCATTGTTGTGTAAAACTTGAATGTTGTAACTTTTCGAATTAAAAGTACAGCAAATGGTTTGCATCCTTAGCTTTTAAACTTTTTAAGACTATAGACATTAAATTTTTACTGTACATCGCGATGAAATTTTCGAAAATAATACGTTTGAAATATTTTCTAACTAAATTATGAAGGCAGTTTTTAATTCATTGATTTTTCTGTATTAAACAAGTACCCAAACATGGCAGAAATCATTAACGTTTCAAACATAATGACTAATTTCTTGAACTCTTCACAAGAAAGTTGGGGTATGTTGTTCATTTAGCAGTTACAAACCTACTTAACTTTCAACTATTTATAGTTAAATGACGAGAAAGGATTCTGGAACTCAAGAAAACTTGCACAGTTTATCATCTCTTCCATACGTCACATACATTTTTACTCTCTTTTGACTAAATAAATAAATAAAATAAATAAAATAAATAAAACAAATAAAACAAATAAAACAAATAAAAGAAATAAAATAAATAAATACATACAATAAAATAAATAAATAAGTTAATAAATAAGATTTACACATAGAGGTACGCGCCCTACAGATGGAGAGTTGGACTCTACTTCACGTGACATTTCTTGTCGTTTGTTCCGCAGGCACAAATACAAAGTGGGCTCGTGGGACCTCCGCCACGACTGCCTCTACATGGACACCGCCAACGGCACGGTCAGCACGGCGCCCTGCGCCACGCCGCTGCCGAGCGCGTGCGTGGCGTTCAGCGACCTGGAGAAGCGGCGCCTGCCGTCGCTGGCGTGCCCGGCGGGCTACTCGGCGTCGCGCTTCCACAGCGAGGGCGGCGGCGATGCGCTGCACTGCTTCCGCGCGGACCGCAGCGACGCGCCGCTCGCCTTCGAGGACGCCATGCGCGAGCACGGCTGCGTCCTCGGCCCGCGCGCCGGCCCGCTCGCCAGCGCCCTCGCGCGCTACGTCGTCCCCAAGGTGGCGGACCGCCTGCGCCTCGAGGACGGCGAGACGTGCTGGAGCAACTTCAACCTGAGCGACCCGCAGAAGGACATCCGCCTGGAGACGGTGAGCAACGCGTCGGCGCTGCAGGCGTCGCTGCGGCAACCCGAGTACCCGGTCGTCGTGCTGTCCGAGGACGGCGACATCGCCTGGTTCACCACCAGCCACCCGCAGAGGTGTTCCTTGTGCGAGGTGCAAGCCACCGTGCCCGAGGTGGACATGTACCTGGCGAGAGACCGGCAGCGAAGGAAACTGCTGCTGAACGTGTACGGCGCGTCGGGGCTTTGGTACGAGTCCAATCGCCATTTCGGATTCCGTTGCTTCACGAACGCCCGTGGAGGGTACAGGCGAGAGGTGGACGTGAAACGCGCCTGGAGCGGGCACTGGACCCTCGATAACTTAGAGGACTTCCTCTCCTCCGGAGAGACCGGTCGGAGACACGTCTTCGATTTGGACATGGAGAAGACTATTTACGAGGTGGAGTACGAGAAAAAGTCCGCCGGAAGGTACTGGTGCGAGGGACACGTGGTGGGAACGTTTAGAAAAGTGAGAAGCAACACCGTCCTAGTACGAGGAATTACGCCCGGTCACGTGTACTCCCTGGGTATAGACATTGAAAGTGGCTGCACATACGATTCCACGGATTGTGACCCCACCTTTCACGAAAACTTCGAAAAGATCGGGAAGAAAATCTCCAAGAAAATGCCGGACTCGTTGATCGCTGACGTGCGCTTCATGCGTATTCTAAACGTCACTGACAACGGAACTGTGAGCATTATCCTCCACGTGGTGCCGGACTTCATCGAACACAACGCCGCCGACGACTTCGAACGGATACGGTCGATCGTGAAGAAGTACCTCGAGGACGTAGGCCCGCCGTACCACTTCCGCTCGCTGCTCAGCACGGAGGGCTGCGTGCCGCTGTCGGCGTCGAACGGCTACATGAATCTCACGTGGAAGTTCACTCCCCTGGGCGCGGTCGGGGTGCCGGAAGAGCTGTGCCTGCAAGCGGACGGCACCCCGGTGTCCAGGCCCTGCCAAGGCGACTTCGTCACCGGAGGACAATGGGGGCCCGTGTCGGGCAACTGCAGCCACCGCAGCATCTCCGAAGTCACGTCTTCGCTTCACGAGATCGCCACTCGCGCCGTGGTGGGAATAGAAGGGCATTCTATCGCCGAGAACGTGTCCGCACTCACGTCCAACCCGGACATTCTAACCCCTGCAGATGTTTACTACACCGCTCGCACCATGCGCAACCTCGCTAGTTCCAGGGCGTACGAGAGGCCCATGACCAAAGCAGACGCTACGAACGAATTGAAGTCTGTGTCTGATATCGTCAATCACATCTCGTTGGCGAATGACAAGTCCGTAATTATTTCGCAGAAAGTGTTGAATTCGTCAAACATGCTTCTGGACGCCGTCGATGTACTATTTGATCGCATCAGCAGCCGCATCAACGACGATGACAACGAGGATGATGTTCTTCTTGCCGTGACACCGTATGTTCTGATACAGGTGTGTGATATTCGCAAAACCAATGTCACAGGCTTGGCGCTGATTCGACGTGATGTTGATGATTCGGGAGAACCTCCTACAGATTTTACGAAGTATGAAGTGGTGCCTCTTGAAAGCACTGAGCGTCTAGAGTCTGTTCTTCAGTACAATGATTTGGAAGTTGCAGTCTGGGCACCTCACAACCTCGTAGATTTCGTTTTCAATTCCACAGGAAATGGAACGTGGTATGATCCTCAACCAGGAGTAAGTCAAAACACTTCAACAGCGGCGCAGTCAAGAATAGTCATTTCGCTTTTCTACAAAGATCTTACTTTCTACAACTCAACGGAGGAATTGCCTCAGGGCGAAGGGGAAAACGGAACACGTACTACCAACGAGACGGTGCAAGATTTGACCAAAGTCGGAAGCCGAATTGTAAGCGTCAGCATCCCAGGATTTTCAAGATCTTTGCCAGTGCCTATTCCTATCATTTTCAGGCCCCTCGTCGATAAAGTCCAGTCACGCCAATGCGCGTATTGGGACTTTACATATAACAGTTCAACCAGCTCATCGTCTACCGGGGGTTGGTCAAGTGAAGGCTGTATATACGCCGGTAATTCAACCTTAGATGCATCATCTGGCCAACTCGATGTCTGTCTGTGCACACACTTGACGCACTTTGCCGAGTTGTTAGGGAGTCGCTACAGTCGCTTGGCTTTGTCCCAACAAACCACATACGAAGATGTTATTACAATGGAAGCTCACATCAAAGTTCTCGATGCCATCACGTTGATGGGATGCTGTCTGTCATTATTTGGGATTGCCGGTATTATAGTAACGGCTGTTGCTTTTCGCACGTGGAGACAGAAGCCTGGGAGCAAGATTCTGCTTCAACTCTCCGCCGCGCTGGCGTTCCAGATTGTTCTTTTGATGGTGTCAGGAACCCTACACACGGCAAAGGATGAGGCGAAAGAGTGTCATCTTCAAATCGACGCTGTCACTAAGGAAACGACATCAAATTCATGTTTAGCAACGCCACCAAAGCCAGACACGGTGTGCATCGTGTTGGGGGCATTATTGCACTACTTTAGTCTGTCAGCGTTTACTTGGATGTTTGTGACGGCATTGCTTCAATTTACACGCTACGTTAAAATTCTAGGACCTTCACGTCCTCCTCGCTTTTTTCTGAAGTCCTTCATTTTCGGTTGGGGAGCCCCTTTGGTGCCTGTCGTTCTTCTAGTGAGTATATCGCCCAACTCTTACGTTCAGCCTGCCCTGTGTTATCCCTCTGGACTTGGGTTGTATCTCGCTGTTCTTATACCCATCCTGATATTCCTTTCAATGAATTTGTCTGTTTTCGTCATGGTAATCAACAGCATTGTTCGAGGTCCTGACGGAAAGGTTCGTTCCAATCCCGAACGCAAACTTGTTATTTCTCAACTTAAACTGAGTGTGCTTCTCTTCTTCCTGCTAGGCCTTTCCTGGCTATTTGGTCTGTTGGTTGTCTCTGGAGCTGGAATAATATTTTCGTACTTGTTTTGCATCGCGGCAACTCTTCAAGGCTTTGTTATGTTTATATTTTTTGTGGCATGCGACCCGGCAACTCGAAAGTTGTGGCAAGCCACTTTCGGTTCCTGGAGTAATCTTGTACTGCTGAAGTTGGGCCCGACCGAAAGTTCTGCTGATTTGACGTCTTCAGTCTCTACCATCCATCGAGAATCCAACACAGAGACGTCTGACGCCATGTGAATTATTAAACAGAATCATGAAATGCGGAAACATGTGAAACAATCATTAAAGGCAGTAGCCTCCAAATTGTTTCACGCATTGTTAATTTTTGGAGCCAATTCATAACTTCAAGATCAGATAAAATGTATTAAGGAAAGTAAAAAACGATTTATGCGTTGCGTAAAGACCTTTCCTATTAATTCTCAACATTTTTCTAAGTACAATAGGGGCCTTACAAATAATATCTTCTGTGAGGCTGTTATATTTAAATATCATCAACGTTTACAAACTTGATTTCACGAAATGATGAAAATTCTACTTATGTTCGGTTTTGAAAATGAAATGGAATGTAAGAGACACTAAATTCAATACCGAGTCTTACAATAATGTCGCAGTTAAATGTTTGCTGCCAGAAGGGTTTTCAGATGGTAAATAGCGCGAGAAACAATAATACGCCTACGCATTACTGTTAAATTGGGTGTATTATTGTGAGATGATATTGACAATCATAATAGTTTGTGTGTTTTTCCGCTAATTCAGTAGATACGAGTCACAATGCAAAGCAAACGATTGTACATTATATTTTAGTACGTTGCCATGTGGATACTTCCTGCATCGCGTTCTGTGTTTTAATGAAGTGAATTGTAATCATCAACTAATTATTGTGTGACATATGTCTCCTTAAATGTTTGTCTAGAAACTGTATTATTTCACTTACGATTTTGAATATAATGTGATCCGTTGAAAACAAAGATGTTTTGGGTCTTTTGCTTGCCTGAAGGTTTTATAATACTTTCTTTTCAATCTTAGAACCCGGAAAAAATAATGTAGTCATGATGTACTCCCTTCTTATCACTATCTTCAGGTTCATGAAAAAATGTTTGAGTGCCAACTTTAATACCAGAACACAGGAGTGACTACAAATGTAAATTAGTGTTAAAAACAATAGAATCTAAATGTAATATGAATGGCTTATTTCAGAAATAACGTAAGTCAGTAAACAATAACTTTTATGTTGGTATAAAAACTCTTTGGATACAGGCGCGATACCAAATCCATTTGAATTTTCCCCGCCAAAATTTGTTTCCGGATCCGCCTCTGCGGGATACAACTATATGTCGCAATCAAGGTATCATTTTTTAGAAGATATGTTTCAAGAACCATCCAGTATTGCTACACTTATGCCAAATTACTCACAAATCGCGCATGTATACCTAGATTCAGGGAAAGAGAAGTCAAAACCTAATTGTTGTTTTTTGAATAAACCATTCATATAATGGGAAAATAAACCTTCAATGTATTTGATAACAATAAGTCTTTTTGGGTGCTACCTTCGCAAATGAAGATGTTTTGATGATTCACTAACTAAACAATGATCATCGGGAGATAAATATTTTTGTTGATATCTTTAATTTTATATTGAAATAAGATAACAAGTGAACTATTTGTAATGTTTACATTTAGTGTATTACAAGACTGGATAAGAGACGGATTATAACATGTCTAAGCTCATTAGAGAACTTTAGTGTTTAAACTCATTAGAGAATGTTAGTTTATTTATTGATACTGTCCCTTATTTTACATTGCTTCACTTTTCAGCACACTGTATAATGTTCCTTGATTGTGAAAATTAAAGTTTTTTTAATTACTCTCTGTAAGTCTAACTTTTCTCTCTTTTACTCATTTATCCTACTAATTATCCGTTCTGGGACGTCACGCTCCTACCTTACAACAACACTGTCGTCATGGACAAACAAAACGAAGAATGAGTTCACAATAAACCGGAAAGAAATTAATGATTCTACCAACATTCCTTCCTATTAAAGATCAAAAAACACAAAATCGTATACACTCATTCGACATTTACTCCACGAGAATAAACGAAATAATTTTATTTATTTAGTTAGTTTATTGATAATTTGTTTACGTGATTGGTCTGTGAAAAATTATCCTGAGTAACATTTAGCTCAATCTCAGACATGTTCAATTACAATAAACTTTCGACAATTATGATAATGTACAAATTTAAATTTAGATTGCTAGTTAATAGACAGTAATAGATTTAAGTTTATATTGCTAGATAATAGTTCAAAACATTTCGTTAATACATCATTAGTTGGCGTTGAAACAAAACGGTTTTGAAACATATACTATTTAAAACTTTGCGCAATACGTTTATTGTATAAATGCAATAATTGGAGTTTACACTTTAGAAAAGAATGACACAGTATTATTGACTGGTACCAGCTGTGATGGCTCATTGGCAAGTTATCTCTGGTTTCCGAAGAGTGGTTGAGGTAAGTTGTCGCACATGAACCTGTGAAAATGTGGTAATTTTTGGTAGAATTAACTGTGAATTATATAAAGGTAAAGTCTGTAAACGTTTTACACTGAATAATTGAATGTCAATTAACTGGACAATTTGGGTCAAATTTTTAATATCAATACAGGCCATCAAAGAGTGTAGTTTGGAAAATGCTACATTTAAATACTAAAATTTAACACATATATTATTATCCAGCTACAGAAATATACCAGTGAATCTGTACTGTATCTTGTTTTCAGTTCGCAAGTTTAAACAACAGGATAATTCAATTTCGTCATAGGTAGTTTTTCCAAGTCTAGATTTTGAAAATGAGAAATGAATTTCAGAATTAATAGCTCAGGAGTTATATTTAGAACCGAGTATTAACTATGCTATAGACAAACTAGAAATTATAAGAAACATTTAGAGGTGGTACCAAAAAGATATGAAATAAAAACACGTGTGCAAATAACATGTTCATCGTGAACTCACTACATTCTTCCATTCGGAATTTTTTAGGATATGTTAGTGATGCGAAAAAGGAGCGTTTAGTGATAAATTAGTAAATATTATCATGTTCAATATTTTTTACCGGAATCAACTTATGGAAATCAAAAATAAATGAGAACAGCCAAACAACGCTGGAATCTCTCTGAACCTTATGATGACTATTTTGAATATGTAAATAGTAACATTTGTTGAAAACCATATCATATGCGTCTCTTGCTATGCTGGCAAACTCTTTCTCAGATTTATCAGATATAGATAACCCACTCCTATGATACCGAACAAAACTAGCAAGTCGACGACATCTTACAATCTTCAAAAAAATCAAGAAGCAGGGTAGGTATAAGGTGAACTCGTTTTACACAAATGCGAACGGCGGAAGGAACCTTAAAATCAGGAAAATATAAAATATCGTAGGTATTTTATTATTAATTAGATCGCTGGTGAGGTAGATACCTTCTAATAATTAAATAGGTAAATTAAAAGTGTTGTCTGTTATCATAAATTGCAGAACGTTTTTTTCGGCCCCGAAGCTGCAAGCTCTAAGAATGATCGCAACGCGATCGAAATTATCATTAGAAAAATATTTTTTTTATACCAGACAACATCTGTAATTTAACAAATTTATTTTATTATTATTTTATTTATCTATACCAGAGAGAATATCGAAAAATAAACAAATGTATATACACAATTCAGATGATATCTTTTTCTTCGAGAGATGCGTCGCCGGACAGGCTGGAAGGAGGATGGGCGGCGATTCCATTTCAGCTGTCTCCGATAACCAACACTCAGATAATCGACATTCTCCGCCC